AAAAATCAGAATAAGACCAGGCCCCACTTGTATAAAACATCTTAACTTGAGATTTCCTCAAGTCGAGATTTTCCTCAGCTGATATCTCCTCAAAAACGGCTTGTATAAAATGTTCTCAAGGAACAGGAGGAAGTCATCGGCTAGGATGTCCTGAAATTCCTTGAGGAATTTTCAAACAAGATATTTTCAAGGAGATATTAGCTGAGGAAAATCTGGGCTTGAGGAAATCTGAAATTGAGATATGTTATACAAGTGGGGCAAGGTGTTTTGGAGGTAAGCACCTAATGCTTCATCGATTCCACTTGCCATTTAAACAACGGTCAACTAAAATTACAAAATTTGACAATTCTCATTCATAAATATGTAATAAACGCTGTCATTTTATTTCGGTGTTAGTATAATACTACGAAAAATAACGTTTATTTTATGGTTTTCTGTTTTCTCCTTCCTAAATCTGTGAGGGATATGTCTTGTTTCAAGTTACATAAGCCAAATTGTAAATCATTATCATTCTACGTTTCTACCATATTTTGCATTCAATGTTCTTTTGCAGTATGTTTAATGTGGAAAAGTATTTATATGATGATCGGACGATTTAAGGGCAGTACCAATTGATATCATAATAATACAGGTTTTTATTTTATCGACGAAAAGAATAAGTATATTCGAAACATTTTACAGATAACTGACAAAAATAAAGTTCTCCAGAAAAGGTTTGTATTTCAGATATATTTACGATGGTCGAGTGAAGCATCTGACCTCGTTAGCATTACTGATAATTTGTAGGAGTGTTTCCAGATTTTTTATCAGGGAATTCCGGCTTTAGTCCACCACATAAACCTAACTGTGGCAAACTTCAATTGTCCCCGAGTGTCAACAGGACGTGAAGCAACAAAAGACTAGACTGAATGTGAACATGTGAAAGTTTCATAAAGAAGTAGAAGAAACGAGAACATGCTGATAACAAAATTTGCATTGGGAGTACACATGTAAGATATGTTCTCCGAATTTTGTGTTTGCTTTCCTCCGTTGAAAAAAAGGCACCCATAGGGGCAGATCACAATAAAAGGCAATGCTTGTATACACGGTGAATCGCTTAGTGATGAAATAAAGCTGATCATTTACTGAGCTCTGTGTGAACATACCGTCGAGAGAATAGTGTACCTAGTATTCCTTTTTCTAAAATGTCAACTGCTATTTGTTGTAAGATGATAAAATGAAGAGAAAAAGAAAGCCTAGTATACAGTACACATAAAGGTACATTGTGCTCAGAGCAACCTAGCTAATGAGCCAACAGATCGAAAAACAAGATTATAAATATCGACACCATCATTGACAGGCGATACCATTCGGCGAGATTACTTACATTGTAAAACCTGATTTATTTTACAAGGTGCACAATATGCAAGTGCAAGCCAATGACAGTAAAATAAAGTATCCGTTTCGGTATCTGGCACCGTTGCATTAAGATTTGTTAAGTCATATTTGAAATATTTAAGTATCTTAGATAACTAAAATCACCGCTCAGAAAATGTCAAGGTATACTTGTTGTTCTCAAGAAAATATAAGAATAGTTAAGAAAATAGAATTCTTTATTACTTATTTTGAAACCTGTAGCAGTGCACAGATATCAACTTTACTACAAGAAACTCTCTTTAGAGTGTTTTTGCCCGTAATTTGCGCGGTTTTTAGTATTCGCAGGATATCTGGATCATTAGCAATGGCTGGGCAAGTCATTAACAAAGAGGCTTTTATGACGTCCTTTATCTTGGTGTTGTGCAATTCTAAGTTCGTTAAGGATAGGACCAGACAAAAGACATCTTTAACTGAGATATTTGAGTAAGATTTTGCGTTTTATTAACTACATCTCCGTCATGTAGCAGGTACATTGGAATGGTTTTTTTTCATTCTCTGAAGAATAGCTATTGAACAATTAAATATTCACGACTCAATCCTATCGATTTTTTTTATAGTAGTTTTATTCAGCAATCCAAGATGGCTGACTCGCATAGAACGTAAATGTGGTATCAATTTCGCTATAAAACTCCAAACTGTATACACTAGACAAATGTTATATCACATCGTAATTCTTATATGAAACACTGCATGTATTACCATAAGGCTTTAAAAATAAAACGGCATACTAAATTACATAATAAACTGGAAATGGCTGATAATATATAAAACATACACTGAAAAAAAATAATGCGTTCTGTTGTGAGGATTTCTTTCCAGCGACACACGCGAATCAGATATAATTCGAGAGATTTCGATTATCATACTAGTTGAATGCAAAGGCCTTCATTCCTTTGAAGAACAGTTAAATGTATTTATAAACCAGTTTATATGGGTAGCAAAATCAAAAGCTTAAACACGTACTGTAGTGAAAGAGAGCTCTACCTATTACCTAAAATTTACCCTAACTTAACTGTTTTGCAATTTACGTCTGAGAAGTTTTGCAAATACATATAACAATCCTTCAATGCAACGATCTCATTAAAGATCGATTACTCAAAGCGGAAATGATGTGTTTTATGACGGTACATCGGAATAGAAAGCAGAAAAAACCTTCATAGAGGCCAATCTGCCAGCATTTCCGAATCATTCTTATTCTTCCATCGGATGCAATATTCTAATTTTAGTGTCTCTTTAAAATTCTAGGGAATTGTTTGTTATTCAATAAATATAACCCTATGCAAATAGAAACTGTTTGTTTCAAACACGAAAAAGAGGTAGGGATAGTAATCTAATGTCAAGGTCAACTCTCATGTTTAACACGTGTAAACACGTACCAATCACATCACGTGTAAACCTATATTAACATACCCTCACATGTTAACCCACATTGTATGTTATATCATCCGCTTTGTCAATTAGAATCATTTCACGTGTAAAAGCAAGCTAACATTGTCTCACTTCATGTGTAAATTCACACTAACTTCACATCACGTGTAAAAGAACGTGACATGTAATCGTTTTTCATGTACGATCTCGTTAACATCACCTAATATTTAAAACTGCGATAAGAGCATCACTCATTTTAAGCCATGTTGAAATCACGTCACGTGCATAACACGTCACATGTACAATTAACATGATGTTACGTGTATCAACACGTTAATATCCACTTACACTCAAATTCACGTTATACCTAACATTACGTGTAAAACCAAGGCAACATCGTCTTATGTGTAAAACAATGTTATTTATATGTTAAACCCGCATAATCATTTAGTACAATTTCACGAGAAAAATCATATTAACATTGTCTCACATGCGAAACCATTTTCACTTTAGGTTTAAAATCACATTTGACATCAAGGAAATACCAACATGACAACATAATATTAATTCAAACTCAAATTCTATAAAATCAGGGGGGGGGGGGGATGAACAAAAGAATGATTTACACATAGATAACGTATGACTACGTTAATATCACCTCTCATGTAAACCATGGTACCTGTTAGATCATCTAAAATGTATGATCACGTTAACATCACCTCTCATGTAAACAACGGTACCTGTTAGATCATCTAAAATGTATGATCACGTTAACATCACCTCACGTGTAAACCACGGTACCTGTTAGATCATCTAAAATGTATGATCACGTTAACATCACCTCACGTGTAAACCACGGTACCTGTTAGATCATCTAAAATGTATGACCAGGATAATATCACCTCACCTGTTAACCACGGTACATGTTGGATCATCAAATGTGTGTAACCACGTTAATATCACCTCAAGAATAAACCACGGTAGCTGTTAGATCACCTTAAGTGTATGACATCACCTCACGTGTAAACCACGGTACATGCTGGATCACCTCAAGTGAATCACCACGTAAACATCACCTCACGTGTAAACCACGACACCTATTAGATCATTTCAAAGGCATGATTATTTCAACATCACCTCACGTGTAAACCACGACACCTGTTAGATCTACTCAAAGGCATGATCATTTCAACATCACCTGACGTAACGTATAAAATCACCTAAACATCACTCCACATGAAAACCACGTCAATATCGCTTTACACGTAAACCAAGTTACAGACAAGATCAGCTTATGTGTATAATGACATTAAGATTTCATGAAGAACAATTATAAAATCACTGTACGTGCATAACCATGTTAACCACACTGCACATGTTATACAACGTTAACACTACCTCACACAACCTTCTATTCACGTGTTATAGCTACATTATCTTCACGTCACGTTTTTAACCAAGTTATATTCACGTCACATGTACAACCACGTTAACTTCACTTCACGTGCAAAACCACGTTTATGTCATCTTACGTTATTAATAATATTAACATAACTGCACATGAATACTACTCACGTTTATCGTCACACTAACCTTATCTGACTTAAACATTAACGTCAAGTCACGTGTTCCACCACGTTGATAATAATCTACGCTGTTCTTTGTTAGGAAGCATCTTTCACAATTATTTTGTCAATAAATTTAACCTTTTACGTAATTGTTTACGGATAATTACCATTTGCAATTAAAGAACACTGCAGCAGCTTATTAAACACCGGAAGACGATAATTAAGAGCTCCTTGCTTGAAGCGATAATAATATATATTACGATGTGACAACTATGCCCTTAGGAATGCTGAAAATTTCATTTGATTTCAAGCCAAACTAAATAATCGCCATCTTTTTATTCTTTATATTGAGTGACATCAACATTATATGATATTAGAATATAAATATCTATTGTACAAGGAGTGAAATAATTAAAATGGTGATTACAGGAATGAAGATTGATACAATACACTGAAACGTTATAAGCTTTCCCCATTATTCATATCATTTGTGTAACCCTGATCTATCGATGACTTTTTCAGATCAACAGTACACGCTCGTACAAACATCTAACGATCGACAGAAAAGCTGCAGAACTGTTGTGTTCGACCGAAGGAACATATTGTCAAAATCAGACAACATTCTACCAAATATATCATACGTCTTACCTTGATAGCATAGTTTTCTTCCTAGAATACATAAACCATCATGATCCGTTATGAAATCATGTTCTTGTTCTGCCTTGGTACTTGGTAGTTACAGTAAGATTCCAGTGTTGAGAACGTGTAGAGTAGTAAATAATGTGCGGTCTCCTGTGACATCGCGTCAACAGTAATCCCAACCATTAGACGCTATCACTGAGGGGAATACACACACAATCGATTTGTTTAGACGAGGATTACTCATTTTGTTCGTCTTTATTGTAAAAGGAAAGTTGGACAAAATGTATCAACTAAGTTTCTATAACTACAAATAAACGATAAAAAAGTACATTGTATATAATTTTTGACAGACAGTTACAATGATCAGACAATACATTGTATATAATTTTTGACAGACAGTTACAATGATCAGACAATACATTGTATATAATTTTTGACAGACAGTTACAATGATCAGACAATACATTGTATATAATCATGGACAGACAGTTACAATGATCAGACAATACATTGTATATAATCATGGACAGACAGTTACAATGATCAGACAATACATTGTATATAATTATTGACAGACAGTTACAATGATCAGACAATACATACAATGATCAGACAATACATTGTATATAATCATGGACAGACAGTTACAATGATCAGACAATACATTGTATATAATCATGTATATAATCATGGACAGACAGTTACAATGATCAGACAATACATTGTATATAATCATGGGCAGACAGTTAAAATGATCAGACAATACATTGTATATAATCATGGACAGACAGATACAATGATCAGACAATACATTGTATATAATCATGGACAGACAGTTACAATGATCAGACAATACATTGTATATAATCATGGACAGACAGTTACAATGATCAGACAATACATTGTATATAATCATGGACAGACAGTTACAATGATCAGACAATACATTGTATATAATCATGGGCAGACAGTTACAATGATCGGACAATACATTGTATATAATCATGGGCAGACAGTTACAGTGATCAGACAATACATTGTATATAATCATGGACAGACAGTTACAATGATCAGACAATACATTGTATATAATCATGGACAGACAGTTACAATGATCAGACAATACATTGTATATAATCATGGGCAGACAGTTACAATGATCGGACAATACATTGTATATAATCATGGGCAGATAGTTACAGTAATCAGACAATACATTGTATATAATCATGGATCGACAGTTACAGTGATCAGACAATACACTGTATATAATCAAGGATAGATAGTTACATTGATCAGACAATACATTGTATATAATCAAGGACAGACGGTTACAATGATCAGACAATACATTGTATATAATCAAGGACAGACAGTTACAATGATCAGACAATACATTGTATATAATCAAGGACAGACAGTTACAATGATCAGACAATACATTGTATATAATCATGGACAGACAGTTACAATGATCGGACAATACATTGTATATAATCATGGACAGACAGTTACAATGATCAGACAATACATTGTATATAATCATGGACAGACAGTTACAATGATCAGACAATACATTGTATATAATCATGGACAGACAGTTACAATGATCAGACAATACATTGTATATAATCATGGACAGACAGTTACAATGATCAGACAATACATTGTATATAATCATGGACAGACAGTTACAATGATCAGACAATACATTGTATATAATCATGGGCAGACAGTTACAATGATCAGACAATACATTGTATATAATCATAGAACGACAGTTACAATGATCAGACAATACATTGTATAGAATCATGCACAGACAGTTACAATGATTAGACAATACATTGTAAAAAATCGTGGATAGACTGTTAACTAAATCAAATATTGTACTTGAAGCTATCTACCCCACGACTTTCACCTCACTTAAACGCAAATAGGGCAAACTACGCACAAAATACGTATGGGGATAAAGATGAAAAAGTACAAAGACAACAAAACCGCGGAAAACGACATTTGCTATATCCAAAACACCTGAAATACATATTTTGAATCAATCCAAGAAACTAATGCCAAGTTTCTAAACACGGTTATCATCAACGGAACTACAAGGCATGCTGACTGGCATCAAACACGTCAAACTTAATATCGTACAGCGAAATGAAATATCATCCCATGTGACGACATTGGAACTTCTCCATAATCTTATCAACTTAAAACGTCGTGCACTCTCAAGTGTACCTTTTCATTTGTCAAATTCAATAAATCTTTGAAAGTAAATCCAAAATAAACAGTAATACTCTAAAGCAAGGGGACAAAGATATTTTGCAATGATCGAAGACATGTATGCCTACCACATACTTTGTTTTGAATTCCCTCTCGCTAAATAATTTTAGTTTATGTTTCGTGTTTTTGTTTATATTGCAAAACGACATGACAAGAAATTCTTTAGGGGATGCTCGTGCGAATTATATATGATTTAAAACATGTTTGTTGCATTCTTATTTATCTATTTTCTTTTTAGATTTATATTCCTAGTTTGAAATTAGATTTTTACTTTTTTAGAATTATCAACCTTGAAAGTCAGAACATACACTATACATCAAACTTGCTACATCGTCTGTATATCCATCTTCACTAGAAGGATTAATCCATTGTAAATTTATTTGATAAAAGACACGCATGTGAAATCGTAAGTAGAAAACATAGTACGGGTTAAATGACACACACAATCAATGTTTTAAGGCAGAAACAACATTTAAGAAAGTAGCAAAGGTAATAAGTTTCGATTGCATTCCGTTTCACCACCTGTAGCAAAACGTAACCTTTTGTTTTCAATGCAAATGATAAGAATGTTATTGTTGTACATTTTGGAGCTTTTATGAGTAATATTGTGGGGAACATCGACGAATTCACATGCTTTCAGGCATGGTGTCACAACAAATACTGATCTCACTGATTACTAACGGACATTTACCGAAATGATGGCTTGACCGATCTTTCCCATCTTTAGATAATGAAGATGAAGACATAATGGCAGGCGAGATCGCGTAAATATGAGAAGATGTATTTCTTGCACGATGTGACTCGTTCGCCAGTATGAAGGTTAATTATCCAATATTAGCATGACGGGTGTTCTCCATAGTTTAAATCTAGATTCAGTGGACATAATGCTTTCGGAAAAATTCAACAGGGAAAAGTCTCTACATCACATATATTTAGTTATGATACCTGCACGGTAACACATCATTCCTATATAAAAATATACAAAATTATAAAGATAATTTATGAATTCGGTTTAGTTTCACTTGTTTATGGTATACACTTAAACATCTCATCTCCTTTTCAAATCATGAATCACAATTGCTTGAGATATTAGATTATTATTTAATATAATTTAAAGTATGATTAAAGAGGAACTTTTAATTTGTGTTTACGTCATGCATATATACACATGTATTTATATGCACCAAGCGTAACAATTAAGATTGTTCAAAAGGCACACAAGTGAATAGCGTCTTCTAATAATTCAGAGTTAGATCTAGTAGAGCGAAACAATAAATTAAACTGCATCATACAGCTGGTTCGTCCTTTTAGGACTCGTCAGCAATGCTAAGGGCCTAACCTGGTATATTCTGAACAGGGCCACTATTTAAATGTATTATCACATGGTATGCAGGTTACTATTAACCTCCGGGACCTTAAGTCTACAACAGTTTCTTCCACCTTGCTTGTTGCAAACAAAATAAAGTCATTTGTATCAGTAGTAAACGACGTCTGAAAGAAAGGACAAGTACACATGAACCTTTTTGCTTTCTGTCAATCAGTATTCTGCATCTGACACCTTTCCTAATTAGCAAAAAATACATTGACATCACACTGTGAAACGAAAAGAACCCCGTCAGCTGGATGCGACAGCGGTTGACAACATATGGTTCCGTTGACCTTCAACTTATAACACCAGAAAGAGGTGCATGCTATAAATCGATTGCAAATAGACAAAACAAATGTCATTAGCTGAAGAGAAAGAAACACATTGAAATATAAAATAACAAAGCTAAAATAAACCATAGAGGTATTCATAACTTTATACCTTGTCGGATTTTAATTCACGGTAGGTAGGTGGATTTATCGCCAATCGATTGATTAAATACATGGCGATGCTAATTCCTCACGCGGGAGACATCGATATGAAAGTGTCTTAAATATCTAATGGTATTGTTATTGCTAACAGCTAGGTTTCAACAAAAGGTATCTGTTTAGAAAACATAAACAACCAAGAGAAGATATTGCTCTGGAATTTGAGACTCTGTTGGACGTATTGAGATGATTAAAAATATTTGTAACTTTAAAAGAAAAAGAACCAAAGATAAACGTTACTCTCGATAAAGGCTAGTTTTGTTATCATGCACTTGTATGCACTTTATATTTACTTGAATTTCATACCTGATGATAGATAATGAAATATTATTTCTTCGTAAAACAAATAGAAAATGTGTTGTTTTTTTCGTTTTTTTTTTTAAAATAAAGATTCAATATATATTTTCTTGTGAAATACAAGAATATATTATTTCGATTACATTATTATTAGTAATGATAAACATGAAACCCATCCATTGGTAATATATATTTTCCGGTGTTGACCAATAAGAGCTATGCTTTCATGTCACTGCATTGGAATTCGCCAATTTCTCTTTTCAGATGTAAATGAAACGTAGGTTGGCTAACTTTGTTTTCCAGGTATTCCAGTTGTTGTCTAATTTGGTATATAAAACAGATTTGTAATCGTTTCTTACCAGAGAACTGCATCACTCGTAGAATAATACAGCCCGTTTAAAATGACATTGTTCAGCGTAACACCAAACTATTTGACGTCAATGAATTAGGTACTATTTTCGGAACCCTTTTTAAATATCGGTTTCTATTATGTCTGGATCGGTTTTTATTTATTTATTTTTTTTTAGAAATGAATCAAAGTTTGATAGTTTCCACTTTATTTTTCATTTGTGCGACGCACTAATGAAAAATATAGATATTCCGTCATACTCGTGAAATTAATTTGTACATATGATAATAAACTGGCAAATTTTAATATTT